CACCCCAAGAGGTTCCATGCTGTACCACAGCTGAAGCAAAATTCAGACCAAGGGTCAAATGCCAGCTGGCATTTATTGGCCTTGCAATTACAGCTTCTTTGTGGCAACTAGTACTGCTTCTTGTCTGGTGATCTTTAATCTGTTGGGTTGAGCTAATTTACATACAAGGTCAGATGACTGTTCCAGTAGGTGACTTTTACAATGTGTCTTGCCTTATCATGGTTAACTGTCATCTTTTCACTGAAGTGTTAACCTTGCTGGTTAAGCCTTATGTCACCAGCATGTGACTGCTGGCAATTTTTTCTTTCCTTGCTTGCCTTTATTTTCTTCATTTCCTTTTTTCATGCTCAAAAAGCACTGGGAAATAATCCCTGCCCCCTCCTACCACCCCCCCCCCATAAAATACCAAGCATTTTTGGCTTATTATTACAGAGATGCTTTGGAGACACCAGAATTAATCTTGTCCTGTGCTTGTGCTAGAGCAGCAGTTCTCAACCCGGGTGCCATGATAATCTGCTGGGGTGCTGCAATGATGGCACCATTGCTTCTGCTGCTGCTGCCACAGGATGAAACTGTCCCACTGGCCTTTCATTTTCAGAAGACACATTGGAACCAAATTGAGAAGCAGTTGCAATAGAAAGGCGTGTCTTCCTGCATTACACTGGGCTGCAGCTTTTCCCAGTTTGGCTCTGATATGCCTCCTGCAACCAAAGACGCACAGGATAGTTCCATCTGCCTGTGCAGGGTTGGACCAGGCAGAGCTGTGGCAAGGGCTTCTGTCCCAGCTGCTTCCCGGTCTGGCTCTGCAAGAGGCATGCAGTGTAGTTCCACCTGGCCATAGTGGTGGGAGTGGGTTGAGTATAATTTAACGATAAGGATTGGATCAATCAACAATGTATTAATTCATGATATCATTGTATTGCTTATAATATTCATAATATATTAATTATTTAATAGGGTGCTGTTTAATTCTAAAGTTTTAGAGGGGGCCTTGGCTCTGTAAAAGTTAAGAACCACTGGACTAGAGAGAGCAGCATGCAGGACTGCGCCTGTGACAGAGCAGGTATGTTCTTTGCCCTGTCGGAAAGGCAAGTCAAGAAAGGAGCGGACCCATTTCTATTGTGTTTAGGTGTTAGCAAAGGTCTGTCTTCTCCAGCCCGATCAATATCAGAATATGCAGCAACGTGCAGAAACCGACAAGGTGAGGAGGAGTTTCACAGAGCACAATTTTTTTTAGAAGTGAGACTATTTTGTCTTTTGCTGTGCATTACCTCTTAGAGCAATCTGGCAGCCTTTGTGGGGTATTTTACTAATGAATATTAACATTTTTCTCAGCTACTGTTGCTCAAGTCTTGGTTGATTTCTTCCCCTTCTGTCTTTGTACTATTTCTGTGGTGACTAATATCTAGGGAAGCTGTTTTGTCAAGGTACTTGACATGTAACATGGCTTTTCCCACACATTGGCATTTTAGGTAGATCCTTTGACCTCCCTTATGAATGTGATATTTTTGTTGCCTATAATAGTTGCTGTTTTTAACACTGCCCTCTGCAATGGGAGAGAGCTCAAAATAGCAGCATTTTTCCTCATTATCTTATTTGCTGGAGGAGCAGTGAAGAATTGATTATGCCAGCGCCCAGTGCGGGGGAGATCTTAAATATATTGGGGAGTTGCAAAATGAGTGTGGGGGAAGAAATTTAGATTAGCTTCTGCTGAGGGTGTGTGGGGATTGCACTTTATCTGAGGCCACTCAGTTTTCTTGTCTGCTGATATACTGCTCTGAATGCATTGTTTTGGAAGTACAATGTCTGTCCTGTATTGACAGGTAAGCACCCGTGCAGTGCTAGAGTCCTCTTCCCTATCCTGATAAAGCTATGCACTACAAGTGGTGAGAAGGATCATGTAGGATCCAGTGGCTCTGGTAAAGGCATAATTCCACAAAGCTTTCCAGCTAGGAGAATGAAAGCTTCCTGAGCAGCACAAAGAGAAATGAAGCGTGAGAAGAAGGCATTGACTTTACCCCATTAACTCAAACCCTGCCTTCCACAGCCATAAATAGGGCAAAACTGAAGCTAGCAGTTTAGGGATAGCTAACTTGAAGGCTGGGCAGAGAAGGGATGGGGTTGTTAAATACTTAGTGATAGCTTTCTGATTCTGTCTAGCCCTTGCCATAGACACAAGGTAAAGCAACTGTTAGACTGCTTTAACATACATCAGCTGGCAGTTGCCCCTTAGATTGCAAACAGATGTTGCCTTTGTGCTGCCATAAAAAATCCTGCAGGGGAATTCCTAGGGTGCACAGAATTGGGCCTCTGAAGTGCCAGGAGTGCCTGCCCAGGTTCCCCTGCTTACAGAGGCATGCCCTGAGTTGGGGTGGAACAGCACAGTGCATATGCTCAGGGAATCTCCTGCTGGGGGAATCCCAGGGCATGTGTCTGCAGGAGGGGAAACCTGGGGTTCCCATCTTTGCACTTGTCCTTCAGGATTAGGCCCTAGAATCCCTGGCCTGACCCTGCTGGAAAATGGGTGATGTCTGTGTCATCCAGGGAAGCTGATTGGCTGTGCTGGTACATCATTGATTCCTGATGTGCCAACTGATCCCTCTCTAAGAATAATGTCTGTTTATAGCATGGAAGTCTTCTTTCCTCTCCTGATAAACCTATGCACTGGAAGTTGAGAAGGATCATTTAGGAACCAGCAACTCTGGTAAAGGCATGTTTTCAAAAAGCTCTCCAACTAGGAATGTGAAACTTTCCTGAGCAGCACAAAGAGAAATGAGGGGTGAGAAAAAGAAAGCATTGATTTTTACCCCATTAACTCAAACCAGATGGAGAACTGTCTTCCACAGCTGTGAAAGTTTGGCTTAGTCAGTAGTCCTCTTGTCTGTGGAAAAAAAGCTTAAGACCTTGGGTTAACCTACTGTTGTCACTGCAGTTCAGGAACAGAGGAAGGTTGATGGGTGGTTTTCAAGCCTATACTCTTTTTATGGCTGTAGTAAGAAGAAGGGTATTTCAGTAGCTCTCATTATGGCTTGCTAGCTTTGCAGTTTGCACTATATCATTCCCTTACTGCTCTTGGCTAAATCTTACCTTTTATCCTTTTGGCAGCTTTTAAGTTATAATAATATTATGTTTTCAACTGCAGTTTATGTCATGCGAGAGGATGTGCGATGTTGGCATGACCTTGGCAGCAAGGTATTGGTCGTATTCTTGTCCTTCTAGGCTGTTTTGCAGAGGATCATTTATTCTCATCTAAGTTCTAGAAGATGCAAAAATGAGTTAGATTTTAAGATATTTTGAGTATTTTCTTCCCAGTAGTAACTTTCTTCAGGCCAGCCACAGTCTAAGTATCCTTTTATGAAATGCTTTGGATTAGCTCTTGAGATGCATTCAGTCCTTTTAGGAGTCCTTACTGCTCCACGAAGAAAGTGTATGAGCAGTTTCATTTCAAGTAGCTGTAAAGTCTTCCTGTTGGAAATTTGTGCACTAGTATGTTAGCCTCTTGACTCTTGTTTTTTAAAATCAGAATCCCAATGGTCCCCTTGTCCTTAAATTCATTATTTTAGAGTGGAGTTTTTGAGTCAGGAATTGCTGGTTTGGACACGACCGTTGGACGGCTTAGTCCCGAGGTGGGCAAAATGGCCAATCCGGCCAGCAGCCAGACTCCATTTCCCAGCAGCCTCTGCCTGCATGGCTGGGGCCAGTCTCGGGGAAATATCAAGGCTGGGGTTGCCATGGAGACCAGCCGCAGCTGTGCTGGCAGCATGTGCGGCAGAGCACAGCAGGGGGCTGCTCCAGAGCCACTGGGATCTTGTGATAGGGGCAGCTTGGCCGGGGGCCAGGGCAGAGCTGTGATCTGTAGCCTGCATCCTCCGAGACAGGGGTGCTCAGGCAGGAGATTGCAGCTCTGCCCTGGCTCCTGCAGCGGTGACAGCCTGGTCTGGAGCAGGGGCAGAGACACCATCTCCTGCTTGTGCGTCCCTGCCCAGAGTGCGCAGGCTACAGATCACAGCTCTGCCCTGGCTCCAGAGCAAATTGCTCCCATCACAAGATCCCAGTGGCTCCAAAGCAGCCCCCTGCCCTGATCTGCCACATGCTTTCCCAGTGTGCTGGGGCTGGTCTCCATGGCTGCCCCAGCCTTGACCCCCCAGCTGCAGCTGGGGTCTCCGTGGAGACTGGTCCTAGCCATGCACAGGGACAGCTGGGAAATGTCAACCAGATTGACATTGTCAACCAGATCTGGCCCTCGAGCCATATTTTGCCTGCCTCTGGTCTAGTCCAATATTCTGTTTCCATGGGTGAGCAGCCTCAAGTGCTTCAGAGGAAGGGGCTGATGTTTCTGAAGGGAGCAGTTATTCAATAACTTATGCTCACACAAGGTCCCTTCTGCCACTGGAAGAGATTGAATGATGCAGAGAAATGTATTTTATTTCCCTTTCTTCTTTGTTCTAAAATGTGTGTACCCTAAAGGTACATTAAATGTGAGGTGGAATATATTGCTGGAAGTGGGGTTGTCTGCATGGTACCCAGCAAAGGGCAGCTCTTTAAGGCAAGTGAAATTGCTGTCATGTAGTTTATTTTCTCGAAGGGCTTTCTCTACAAAATGCCTCATGTTGATTTTCATATTTCCAAAGGCGCTGGTGCAGTGGGAAAGCCCGTAGGTTTATCAACCAGCTTATGCTATACCTGCTGTTTATGCAGTTTTCCTTTTGGTTCTTATTTCTTGATTCTTATTTTGAATAAATGAAAACCCTTACTCCAGAATCAGACCAGCTTGCTGAGAGCAAAGTAATACAAAAGAAAAAGGTATGAAACGTGTATTAGTCCTTATTGCCACACCTGCTGGATGATGCTGTGACATACAAGAGTGCCTTGAGAGACCCTGATTTTCATTTCATTGATTGTGCATCATAATACCTGCATAGGCTGTAAATAATATGTTGCTGCTCTTCTGATCCCCTCCTACAGCATCTGACTCATGTTTTTGTCCTTTGCTTTCACAGGAGGAGCAGCCTCCCCCAATGCAAACCAGGAGGTCGTCTCTCAGTGGGGTGTGCTACTTGACTATGGGCCTCATTGTTTTGCTTCTGGGCCTTGTGTTTGCCTCCATGTACGTGTACAGATATTTCTTCATTACCCAGGTACAGTACATTCTGGAGGGTCCACAACATCTGCTTCATTTTTAAAAGAATTTATTATTACCTGTTTATGTAATGCAAGTGCAGCTGCACAAGTGGACAAGAAGAGAGTCCCTGGACCTTGTCTTGAAGAGTTTGCAATCTAAAAAACCTCTCCAAAGCCAAAAAAAAAAGTCTTTATACTGATTAAAACATTAGTACAGGGAAAAAAACAGAAGAAAGAAAATGGAGAATGCATTTTATTTATGTTCCTTTATAACTTGTTGTAGGCTGCCACTTGCTCTTGACCTCTGTGCTTGCATACACCTATAGAAACGTTAGTGTGTATGGACATACGGTGAGACTGGCTATACATACACTGTATAACTGAATATCAGGAAAGCATGTTCCCAAACTCCTTCTGTTATGCGAGGCAGAAGGCAGGGCAGAGTGGTGCCTTTGAAACTAACTGGTTCACTGCAGTTTGGGCTTCCAAAGGCAACAACCTACTTCATTAGCTGCTATGAATTATGAATTGTATTATTCCATAAAACATAAAAAGCCCTTTCAGTTCTCCATTGGAAAACAGAATTTTACAGCTGTTTGTCATAAACCATTTTTAAAGAGTGTATTGGGGAAATAGCAGCAAATGGGAAGAAGAGGGAGTTTAGGTTCTAAGGGAAAGTAGGCTGTTTTAGAGCACACCTAGAACAGCAGGATTTGGGAACTGTTGCAGTACATGTAATAAATGGTGCTATTCATAAAGCACACTGGAAAAGACTACTGAAAATGTAGATGGGGTTTTCCAAAAAGCCTAACGGTCCAATTTCTATTGAATTAGGTAACTTCTGTTGACTTGTGCTACTTTGAAAATCCCAGGCTAAATACAGAGCAGGCATTGATGTAAAAGTTAAACAGTAGCTGCTTAATCCATTGCAAAATATTTCAGAGTCAGCTCTTCTTAAAAAGGGGGTACATCACTTCCCCCTTCCCATGCAAAAAAGGCTGAGCCACACGGGGTCCACACGGTTGCCCTTCATTCTAGCAAGGTAGGAAGGGGTATATGTATTGTTGGCTTTATTTTATTTGCTTTACTGTGGCATTTCAAGGTCTTAACTGAAATAAGGGCCCTAAGGTACCAGGTGCTTTATAAGAATAGTCAGAGAGATGGTCCCTGCTTTTTTTAGGACCTTAAAAACTCGGAGACGTGTGAAGGTGCAGCAGCTTCCCCAAGATTTCTCAATGGGTACAGAGCTGCGGTGAGAGTTCAGCTTCCCTTACACCCGGCCCTCCATCATAACATGAAGTAACTCAGAGATGAACATGGGGATTTTTTCTGAAGTTTCCTCATGTTCTGCTTTAGGGCAACAGAGGTGATCATTTCAGCAATGAAAAGCTGCTATTCAATTAGTACATTTCCTAGAACTGATTTTGAGGATGAGAGTGCAATTTTTTTCCCTATCATTCTTCTGTTAAGTATAGCTTTTGGTGTCTATTTGACTAGGGGTCCATTCAGAAATAATTGATTTCTGAGGCAGAGGGAAATTAGCTCATGCATGGTCATTATTTCAGGGTGAGCACAGCCTGCTATTTTGGTCTTGGTCTGGAGAATTTCTGACTCTGGCAGTGCCCAGCTGCTGCAGCTTATGGGAATGCCCTCATGCAGTGTCTTCAGAGGGCTTAGTGGGAGGTCAGATCATGGAGGGAGGCTCTAGAATCAGGGAGAGAAGTGATGGACCCGCAGGATAGACAAAGGTAGGAAAGCTTAAGTAGGTTCTGAGCTTTATTTTCTCACCTTCTGAAGCCTTAGATTCAAATTCCCATTTGTATCTTTTTTGCAATTTGTCCACATTAAAAAAAATCAGTTCTGGCCTGGCTCATGATTGACTTTCAACTCAAAGGAGGCTCAAGCCCAAGGTGCGATAGTGGAATGTAGGTGGGGGAGCTGTGTGTCTCATAGCAAAGTGGCGAGAGTGACTCTCCCCACCCCCAGACATCTACATGGGCATACAGATTCTGATCCTGCTGCAACAATTAGGGGCCAAAGTGTGATCCTGTTCCACCCTGCTTGGGTCCTTGAAAAACCATTAACACAAAAGCTGAGTGGGTCCTACTTCTTTGCCGCTTTTTTATTTAGTCTTAATGCTAAGATAAAGGAATGCCACACTAATGATTTCTCAGGGACTGAAGCAGGGTGGAACAAGATTGCATTTAAGTGCCTAAATTCACCTAGTTGGCATGGAGTCTGGCCCTAACTTTATATTTCTTTTCAGAAAAAAACAAAACAAAAAAATCCTTTCTCCATCTGAGGAAGGAGGATGCTTAGCTTTTTTGCTAGCAGTGTTTTTGGACAGAAATGCCCAACCATAGCTCCAGAGTACTTCTGTGATCAGAATGACTATCTGATGCACAGCTATTACTAAATTAATTTTCTGAGAACTGCAAGGTGTATTGTGTCTCTAGTCCAAGATTTGTGTTTCTAGCACTTATCTACTCAGCGGTCTAGTCTTTTTATGGGCTCCCCTGCTCACTAAATTTCCTTGCTGCAAAATTAATTTCTAATCTTCATTTTCAGATATATCACCACTCATTTATCAACGCACTTTAACCTTTTTGACAACCTTACGATTGTTTTCACCACCCCTTCAATTTAATGCCTATACACAGATTTGCTGTTTTCTGCTTTTACTTTTTGCAAACAAATGTATGTCATGTGAGACAAGCTATGTTTCAGCAGGGTGATGGATAATGTTCGGCATCAGTGACATCCAGACAAAAGGTAATCTGCTTGCTGGATGGCACTGTGAAGTGTTAACATTCAGTTGTGGCCAATCATTTTGGCAACCATGCCATGAGTTAAGCCCCTCTCCTCTTGCCTGGTGCTGCTCTGAAGCCCTCCTGCCAGAGGCATGCCTAAAAGTTTGCTCCCTGGACCATTGGAATGGAGATAGGAGCCGTCATGTGTGCAGAGTGGAGCAGAGGCAGGATGCTGTTGCGAGAGGAGGGGTTACTTCCAGGAGCCAGGTTGATCCTTCCCTAGCTGTGGCTGGAGGGCTAGGGAAGGGGTAACCTGGCTCTCTCCAGTGATACCTGGCACCACCTCGCAAGCAGAGTTAACCTGGCTCTCAGCAGTGATACCTGGCACCACCTCGCAAGCAGAGTTCTGCCCCCAGTCCACTCCACATGCAGTAGGCTTGAGTCCCCCTTCCTCCATTCCTGTGCCTCCCTTGACTGAGTGCCTGGGAATTGCGTGCCTCCTGCCTCGTGTAGCAGCTGCCCATTGTTGTAGGTGTGCCACCCTCATGTGATCTGTTCAAAGCTTTGTTGACAGCTTCATCATGTGCTGCTTTCATAACCAAAGTGAACCCTGATGGTGAGGTTTGCAGAGCTCAAAGCCCTACCCAACAGCAGACCCTTCTTGTGGTGAATGTAGATGTTATGAAACATGGGCAGTGAAATAGGAAATTCCAATTTGTTTTGAAACCTTTCAATATCCAAACTGCAAGTTCATGCACAACAAGCCTCTGCTTTAAGCGCACCAGTTCTGTGAGGGAAAATAGCCTTGCATTCAAGCAGTTGTGTTCTTATTGAGTCTGTTAAATAGATGTGAGGACCAGGATCATATAGCTTCTATAAGACTCAAGATAAAAATCATAAAAATAGACTAATAAGGCTTTTTGCAGCACCCTGACCAAATGACATGCTTCTCTACAGATGTCCTCAGTCACATGCATGAAACATAAGCTAGATTTCTTTCTTTCAGCTTTTACTTTTAGTGTGGCCCTGAATCTGGAAGATAATGGTGTGTGCATGTGTGTGTATCTCTGTTTTGTTGTAGTTTCCCCAGCTTCCCCGGGAGAGTGTGTTCCACTGTGGTGTCCTCTACGAAGACTCCCTTTATTCTCCATTCAAGGGGCAATTGGAGTTGCATGAGGATGTGAAGATTTACATCGAAGAGAACTATGAACAGATCAATGTCCCTGTGCCCCAGTTTGGAGGGAGTGACCCTGCAGACATAATCCATGATTTCCAGCGGGTAAGACACTTCTACGGATGACAGCTTCTCTGTAGCGCAGCATAATGTAGAACTGGAATGTGAGAGCAGACATGCCAGCAGAGAATAATGGTCTACCCAAATCTTGCCTCTGGCTGTGGAAAATACCAGATTCTGTGGAGGAAGCCACCTGATGGCATAATAATAAATCATAGAGGAAATTTGTTCCTGTATCCTCCTTGTCAGTGATTGTATTATGCCCTGGAGCATGAACACAGTTACTCTTTGCAATATTTATTTAGCTAGTGTCACTACAGAAGGTAATCTGGCTTCATATGATCTTATTTGGAACTTCCCAAGCTATTTGACTCCCAATCCTTGGACAGGGAGCTCCTCTAATTAATTGGTTGCTTTAAGTCATTTATTATCTCTCTCAAATTTTCCTTTTTGATTGCATGGGTTTGAGGGCAGGTTCGTTTCTGCCTCTGATAGAAGAGAGCTGAGCTCTGTAACACAGGTGATCCCTCCCAGTTCTAGGTTCCTATGGATGCATCTTTTAGCTCTAGTTGTAGTCTGTGTCCTGACCATGTTCATAAGATCTGGACACTTTGGTCTTCCCCAGGTGCTGCTGCGTTCTGATTGAAGTTAAAAGAAACCCCAGTTTTTCACTGCTTTTTATTGGGCAGAAATCTTCCAGCATCCATTGGCACCAGTTCATAATTGACTAGAGGGGTTTTTATCAGGTGTGGATTGTTCAGTCTTGTGAGGACTAAGTGGCCTCTGCTTTAGGTGCCAGACCCAGCACCCCAAACAACAAATTTGTATCCCTCCTATGGCTATGCAAAGCCACAGCCCTTAAACTAATCAGTTGGAGAAGATACAAAGTTGGCAGACGGATACAAAGGAGGCTGTCTGTAAATCCCACAAATTCTGCAGCTAACCTGTTTGCCAGCCTCCCACAAGAAGGACATGAACATAATTCTATGAAGGCTTTTTTTCTCCCCACTTCAGTTGTGCTCGGCTTGCATATATATAAATCAAGCTGCACTTTTGAAAATAAATCCTAATAAAGAGAAGTTCCATGGGGCATAGGAGGCTTAGGAAAGTTCTGGATCCCAATGAGTCCTTTGCAGGCACTCTTTTCTGTGTAGGTGCTGCTCTTCTGATAGCTAAGGCAGCGGGCAACAACAGGGGCTGTGGTCTCATGCATCTGAAACTCAGTGACTAACGTTGAACCTAGGCATCTCACACTTTTCCCTGCAGTACTCTGGAGTGCATGACTGAAATATGTGGCCTTCTTTATAATTTCTAGTTTTGATCTTCACAATTTCTTTCCCATTGCCCAGTAACAACCTGTCTTTTTGCCATTCTTTCCTTGTATTTTAGCTTCAACTTTCTGCTAATTACTGTTACAGTGGAACATGGCGTTACTAGTCCTCTGGAAAGGGAATTGGTGGACTGTTGCAAGTTCATTTTAATTTCCTTCTACCCAGATGTGGACGTAGGCCAGGGAATGATTTTCTGAGGTCTGCAAGCAGTAGAAGACTAGCTCCTAAGCATGTGAAAATACTCATAGTTCCATTGACTTCATCAGGCTGAGCATAATTTACAACAGATTGAAGATCTCGGTCATAGATGTCCAGTGGAACCTAGCTGTTTTTTTCCCCCCACAAATAAGCCTTGTTGGTAGTGTTATAGTCCACACTGTCTTCGTATTATAAATGTCTGCTACCACCATGCTCTCCTCTCTATTTCCACATATGTACTTGTGCACTTAAATTCTTACTTTCACTCTTTTGAATGCAACATTAAACAGGAACTGCGCGTCAACCAGGAAGAAGCAGGAGATGATGATATTTTGGTGGTATGGAAGTTGAAGGGTGGCAGGTAAATCTGTCATAAGTTGGTGTTTCTGACCTTGGAAACTTTGATTTTTGTGCTTAATCACCGTAGAGAAGCACAGGTCAGCCCCAGATCACAGTAATTAAGTGCAGTGCAGAGTAGCAATGGAATTTAGCTCAAGACAGAGGTTTAACATGTAGGTTAAATATATATATATTGGCAGTAGGTAGGAGCCATAGGTATGGTTGGACAATGCAGAAAGGGATTGTCAGTGCTGTGAGCAGATGAGGAAAGATAATGCAGGTCAATAAAGAAACTTGACGCTGTTTTAAGTGGCATTTCTCCAAACAGTTTGACTCCAAAGGATTTCTTTGGAAGGTTTTTGTTTAGTTCCCATCAAGGGTTCTGTGTTGGTGTGTGCTTTTTTTTCATTCTCCATTCCTCCCTTCTGCACAGATCACCCCTTGCCTCATTTCTTACAGATTTTTAATTTTCCAATCTCTCTCTCTCTCTGGAGTGAGCAAGGTCTCTGTGTTTTGAACCTAGGGACTGACAGCCTATCATGACATAGCCCTGGATAAATGCTACGTGATTGAGCTGAACACCACCATTGTGATGCCACCTCGCAACCTGTGGGAGTTGCTGGTCAATGTGAAGGTACGAATTTCATGCTTGTCTCCACTTTTCTGCTCTCACTTTCCCTGGCTTGTACTTGCTGTCTAAAGCCAGTTGGAGTTCTACAGGGATCATGCCAAAATATCAAATTAAAAACCCTTGTTTTGTGTCCCAAGTATTTTCAAAGTGCCTCCATATGTATGTAAGCTTGCAAGAGACATTTTATCTCAGATCATGTCTTGCTTTCCTCTGTTTCCCTGTAGCCCCATTGATTTAATCAAATGTAATCACACAATACATGATCTACTGTTCAGATCAGGACACAGTATTCATAAATGGTTGCAGGCAGTTACAAATCAGCCACAGGTTTGGGGGTTTTTTTTTTATAATCCAGTGTAATCAATCCCAAAAAGCAAGATTATATACATTGACAGAGGAGTGTAAGGATAAGAGAGATGTACATGAACACTGGTTACAGTCCTTAAAAATGTCTGCTTGGCAACCAAAGGCCACAGATTTCCTTTTACACAACAGGAGGGGTCTGATTCCTTGAGGGTGTACAAAACAGGAACCAGTGTGTAAATTTTTTTTTCGGGGCTTAATGCCAAGTTGCATATAACTTTTTTTTTTAAGTTATTGCTCTGTGGCTATGTTTTGTATGTTGCTTTACATCTGCGTAGTGCTACAGTGATGTAGCGATCACGTGGGTCTACACATGATTGTCAGCTATGTTGCCATAGCAGCATGCTTCCCCAGTATAGCATGCCGCTACAGCAACACAGTGGCAAAATCTAACTGTGCGCTGTGTGCACGGTGCAGTAACCACGCATACTGCACCGTAGCAGTGTCACCATATGGCAACATGTAGATGTGCCCTACAGTAAGTGTTTTGATTTAGTTTTGCCTAGCTTTAAGATCAGTGCGGTTATGCAAGCAGCCTTCTTGGTGATTTGTATTAGTTTGATACTAGAATCTTCTCCTTTCTGGGAAGCAAGCTCAGTTTGTCTCTGAGTTCTGGATCTCCCATCAATACCAAGCCTTAATCCTCTCAAACTGCAGTGATCTCCCTCCCCCTTCTGCTGCATTGGATTACTCATGCTGGTCATGGGACAGAGAAATCGGGGACCTTTTGCCTCTGGTCCCCAATTCAAATCTAGCCTCTTTACTGTTGCCTACAACCTGTCACTATCTGATGGCTATTGTTTGGCCGCTGAGGAAGGTGGCTGATGGTACCTGTTACGTTTCCAGACTGATCACATGCCAAAGATCAGTACAAAAAGCATCATGAATCATTTGCCTCAACAGACCATTCTAGGACTGAATTTTAATATTAAGTGATCCTCCTCTTACCTCAGAATTGTCTTCATTGCCTCACAGAGGGGTTATAGATATTTTGAATATTTTAAAGGTTGCCAGGATACTATGGTTGAGAGCCATATAAATGAGAGAGAGAGGAATAGAGAGAGAATGATATCCATGCCATGCTGCAGCAATCAGTCTGATGAACAAATCGAAGATCTGGTAATCCAAATAGTTCCATATTGAGCACTTGAGGATCTCTAAGTGACTTCTGATGCACTGTATTTACTACAGAGACACTTAAGTGCAGCATGATTCTTATGAGCAGCCTTTTGCAAAGACTTGGGTAGCAGTGTCATGACCCTGTCACTGTCTTGTGATTGAGGAACCTAATACTTAGTCATTTTAGCTCCTACAAATACTTAAACCGAAAAGGCCGAAAAAAACGGCATTGATTACCTTTCCCTCATGCATCAGGGACAAGACAAATCCTGATCCCCAGCTCTGCATACTAACATGATCGGTTGTGCCAGTAATTGAACGTGTTGTGCAGCCTCTCTCTCACTCTAATGCAGATGGATCAATAGCCTACATTTTATAGAACTGTTGTGTTAGCATATAAGAACTCAAGCTAATAGACTGATACTGCAGTATGATAAGAGAGTCTCATTGATCCAGTAAGCTACACCAGCCCAACAACACAGCACTGTGATAAGATGGCTTGCTTCCCAGTTGTTGTCTGTGACGATAACCAGTACTTTGGCCAGATGGTAACTAAAGAGGCAGAGTCTGAAATCTTGGTTTTTATTATTGCTCTTTTTTTTTTTTTCTTAAACATAGATTTCCATTGGACTTTCCTTACTAGGTTTGTAGAAATAATGGTGGTTGGTACATAAGTTTTGGTTTAGAAGAGTTAATGCAGATGGGCTGAAAGACTTAAGTGAACGATGAACATAAATGAAAGTCTTCAAGTAATGGCATAGCTAATTCTGAAGCTATTCTAAAGCACCCAGGCAAATTGCATTTATAATGCCCATCCAGGTACCCGGTACTTCCAGTATAGTTCCAGTGAATGGTAAAGAACTGATCATTTTTCAATCGAAAATCACTGCTGTTTCCTTGCACAGCATTTGTTTTAAAAAAGTAGATGTACTTTTCAGCAGTGGGTGCAACTAAAACATATGGTGCCAAATGGTTTCTAATAGTATGAAAGTTCAGTATTTCAAGGCAAATTGCTGTTTATAAAGATGGTGTGTATGGGATGAGTCTCTTGTAATGATTTCAAATGGCTGAGATCTAAGGCAATAGGAGAAGAAAACAGATGCTGCAGTAATAGTTGTTCTAAATAAATCAAGTGGAAGGAAATGTGGAAAGCCAGGGAGACCCTTGATGTGTATGAAGTTTGAGCAAAGTGTATTTTTGCTCCTAGGGTGAAGACATTTGTACAGTGTCTAGCACAACAGCTAGGCCCTCATCCCAACTGGATTGGGCACTTCTGCTTTAATAACACTGGCCTAAGATTCTGTTATCTAATATTTTGTTTAGCTTAAGTCCTTCCATGATTAATACTATTATAACATTCTCTTTCCTAATATATGTAGATTTGACTGATAAAAAAAAAATATATATTTTGTAATTCCATTCCAAAGTCAAGCTTTCTGTCTCCGTGTGCTTTTAATGAAATAGAAGGATGTGTACTGGTATATAAAATTCCCTGGAAAATGGAGCCTTAACCCTCCGATATTTTGAGTAAGTTACTGTTAAAAAGCCCAAGCTGCCTTGTGAGCTATAGGCAGTTAAACTATTTGTTCCCTTGAAAGGGAGATCACAGCATATTATCAGACAGACTGTATTTAATTGGTGGAAAAATGTCATTTCAGAAAGGGACATACCTGCCTCAAACCTACATAATCCAGGAGGAGATGATTGTCACGGAGCATGTCAGTGACATGGAACAGCTTGGCTCCTTTATCTACCGCCTCTGCAGTGGCAAAGAGACTTACCGGCTGAAGCGTAGGACTGCTAGGAGACGTAAGACCTTTGCGTGGTTTGATTATATTAGCTCAGTTCTCCACTGTGCTACTACTATAGCATTTTCTGTGGTGTGTACAGTAGTGATTACATCCTGGTGGCAAGAGGGAAGGACTCTCTTTGTGGAGATCTGCCCAAAGGCAGTCTTTCAAACACCAGTTGTCAGCCTTGCTCACTACAATATGCTGAAAGCTCTGATGCGAAAGTGTACTGGCCACTATAGGCATTCCTACTGCTTTCCCTATTAGCCTATTAATAAAAATGCATGCAGGAGCCAGAAATCCATTTACCTGAGGGTTCCCAGGGCCGAGCTAGTGTTAGTGATGTTGGGAAGTGCTTGGAAAATTTCCTTAATGCAGACACCCACTCAGTTGGCAACTATTCAGTACAGAAAAGATTGGAATATTGCCTTTTAATTAATTGAGCACCTAAGAAAATAACAAGACTTAAAAAATGGTGAAAAGGGAGCATTAGACTTTGTGAGATCCTGAAGTGATTTGAAGAAAGTTAGTAATGAATGCCTTGGAGTCAAATGTTAAAGTTGCCACACATACTGTTTTAACTTCAATATGTTTGCTTGGAGATTGAAAGTCTTTATTTGCCTCTATTGCTAATACTTATGAGATTTAATCTTGGTCCTCAGGAGAGGTGGGGGCTGCAAGCTTTGGGTCTGTGAGCACAGCCTCTATTACTTGAGGCTGCATTTTTTCCCAAGTCATCCCAGACTGCTGTTTTTTCCTACACTTCCTTGTCAGAATGTTCTGCTCTGAATGATAGTTTACCCACTGCTCCCTGCCCCCTTCCCCACACCTGGATGTTATGGTGATTCATATAGATATGAAGCGTGAATCATCTGCTTTCATTGCAGCTTCAGAATGCAGAACAATACAGGGGAAATGTAAGGGAAGTAGCAGCGGTTGTAGCCCAGGGGTGTCAAATATTTATTTTTTGGAGAGGCTCAAATTTGCTTCAAGGTCAGTTGGCTATTACAGAGGTTGGCAACCTATAGTCCTTGGGCTGAATCTGGCACATGGAGGCGCACTGGATTTGGCCAGCAGAGCTGGAAAGCTTTGCCTCTGACTGCACCCATGCTGGGTCTGGGTAGTAGGCTGCACTGGGGCTGGACACTTGGAAGCTGCACCTGCATCACCACCACTTCTCCTCATCCTCTACTCCCTGGTTGCAGCATGGGCACAGCTTCCAGTCAGTGTGAAACTGAGCTGGAGCTGGGCAGTTTTTACTCACTGCCGCATTTTAGCTGGGAAGTGGGGAGAATGGGGAGAAGCAGTGGCAGCAGTGTGAGTATAGTTCCCAGCTGCCTAGCCCCAGCAGTTTTTCTCCATCTAGAAGTTGTGCCAGTATGCAGCCTAGGAAGCTGGGAAAAGCATCACTGGCACAGCTTCCAGCTACCTGGCATCAGCATGGGTGCGCACAAACCCCCTTGCCACCTGACCCATGCTGAACTGGAGCCAGGTTGTTCATGTCTGTGGCTTGACAAAGTTGCTAGCCCCTGGAATATAATGAAACTGCAAGCGGGATGGTAAGTACTTGAGCACCCTTTGATTTAATTCAGAGCCTTGATCTGCTATCTCTTGGCTTGGCCCGATTCTCTGCTGACACCGAGAAACTATATCTCAAAACCCAGTCTTTCCACAGTTGGCTTTGTCACTCTCCCTGCACAATGTATTGACTTTATTGTGACTCCACATGGGTATAGGCATCTGGGTATTTGGTTTGTATTGTTGGACTGGGGCCTGGATAGAAGAACAGAGGGTCCAGAGAAAATGAATTTGTATTCTGTTCCTTGTTTGCTCTGTCATTGCCCTATTTCAGCACATTACAGTGGCTTGAGTCCTCATCTGATTGTTTATTGCACCCCACTACTCACCTATATAATGTAGCCATCCTAACTTGGTCTTTGCTTTTGGTCTCTCCTAGGTATCAATCGGCGTGAGGCTGGAAACTGTAATCACATTCGCCACTTTGAAAACACTTTTGTGGTTGAAACTGTTATCTGCAAGAAGTTGTGAATCCTGCTTTCCAAATGTAACTTTCCTCTGCTTTGCTTGCACACACACATGCATACACACACACGCACATACATAGACCCCCTCCTAAGAAGTACTAATCTATCTTACTTTTATATACACCCTTCCCCACTTGTGCAGTACTAATTTCTCCAACCCCATGTTACCACACATTGGATTCTATTGTCTCTGTACTGTGTGTAATATATACTTGAGACTCTTTGCTGGGCTTAAATTTATACAGTAATCAAAATGAAAGATCTCATGAGTAGATGCAGCTTTTTATGATCACTGCAGGACAGGAGTTTCTTCTCAGGGGGAAAAGCAAGAGAGCTAGAAGCAGAAGGTAAGGAATAGCAGGCACTGATAAGTTTTACTCTGAGTCAGTGGATGATGTCATGCAGACATAGTATTTTGAGGTAACATTGGCACAGAAAAGCCAGAATGCCTCTAAGGAAAGTTATAATTTTGGTCCTGATGCAGTAACTGCTAGAACGGCGTTAGATGCATCTGAGTAACTGTTATGGGGTGTGGGGAGGTCATCAACTCAGAATGGTTGCAGATAGGAAATTTCTGCAAAAATGTAATAATAGAACTAAATATATGTTCTTGTTTGAGGTCATCCAGTGAAGGCGTCTGAAGAACCCATTTCATAAATGTCTGATGTAACCTTTATACTCTGTTGGTGTGACTTCATCTGAAAGTACTGCATAGTGTATATATTTTGAGTTAAGGACACCTGACCTGTGAACCATGTTGCAGGTTATGCCATGTCATGGAGCCCTCAGTTGATACACCATCTGAGTAGGCAGGGCTCCTTGGGAGACTGAGGGAAAAGGAGACTGATTAAGTTGAATGGAGAGTAATGGAATAGACTGACAAAGCTCCACAGCTCATTATGACCACAAAGCAGCAAATGGTACATAAGTGTGTGTGTGTGTGTGTGTGTGTGTGTGTGTGTGTGTGTGTGTGTGTGTGTGTGTGTGTGTGTGTGTGTGTGTGTGTGTGTGTGCTATACCTCTGCCAAGCTAGGACAAATAATGAAGTAAACCTTGACTGGCTCTTGGTCACATCATTGTGATCTGCTTATGTGGGGGAGACTTTCCCTCAATATTTAGGCCAGCACCCTGAGCACCAGTCCTTGCATACCAGGCAGGCAGGCATCACTTTCCATATATTACCTCTAAGTAATTGAACGCAGGGGTGGGCAAAATGTGGGCCGGATGTGGCCCTCCAGGCCATTCTATCCAGCCTGTGGGGCCCCTAAAAAAGTTAGAAAATTAATATTCATCTGTCCCCAGCTGCCTGTCATGCAGCCCTCGATAGCTTGCCAAAACTCAGTAAGTGGCCCTCTGCTCGAAATAATTGCCCACCCCTGAATTAAAGGGTGTAAGTTATCAGAACATTACTGAAGTTCATTTAAGTGATCATTGCAATTAACCATGGCTGTTTACAGCACCGGAAGATCTGTCCCATACAATTCTAGTTAATGAAGTCAATATCAGAGGACATCAACACTTATTTTCTGTGTGGCTATCTCCTCTGGTTATGCATCATCACATATCTTGCTACCAACCTTTTTCACATGCCCCCTCTATGCATGCTGGTCTGAGCCATGGGGAATTTCCCTTCTTTAGTGTGTGTGGATACAGACCAGTTAGTTGGCTGGGTGCTGGGCATGGACCATGGCCTTCTAGAATTCAAAGTTCTATGCTTCCAGTCCTGAAGCAGATAACAAATCATGTTTCTGCTGGTGGCTGGTCTTTAGAGGTCTTAATGCAATGTTTTTGGCTCCTTTAATGAGGGGAAGAGAGAATCACAATTCTTACAACAGGTCATGACCTGGCAGGTTCCTTAATGTGTCTTTTTACCTGTCTTAATACATGAGCAGTGATCCCTACTAGCACATAGTGTTAGCAGTGTCACTGGAGCAACTGAGTAATTTTTGAGAGGGCACTCATGTAACAGTTCATTTTTTATAGGTCAGAAGCCCTGGTGTGGCCTATTTCTGTGCTAAATGGTGTCCTGATACTATTTGGCACGTGAACTTGATATGATCCAAATTGACTTCTTAAGGGGTACGCAGTTTATAATTTTAAAAAATGTTGAACTGCTGCTATGATCAAACCCATATCAATACAAGGCCAAGATTTGGTAGATCAATATAGTGAAGAAAAATAGTGTGAAGTGGACTGCATGTCTATTGATCATCAGAGAAAGAAATGGTAGTATAATTATGTATTCTTCACTCTACTCTATAAATATTGTTAAAATTAATTAGTTCCTTGAAATGCAGTCAGAGTTTTTTGGCCTGGGACAATGGGGTGAATTTCAAATTGGCAGATTCTTGTTGGTTTCCAGCAAATCTGGACTTTTCCCCATCTGTTGAAATTAATTTGATGTTTTAGAAAAAGCAAATGCAAGTACAATCATTAACTCAGCAGAACCCCCCCCTCCAAAAAAGTTTTGTGACAGAACTCTTAAGGAATAGTTCTTTGAGCTAATTATATGAAGCCAAAAGCAGAATCTTTAGGCAAACATATAATGTAACTCTCACTTATTTGTCCGGAATTATGGAGATTGCTTTTTATATAAACTTAGGATCAGTCATAAAACAGAATCACTGAGTTTTAGCAGGCAAGGATAGTTTTGTTTTACTTTGTTCAAACTCATGTAAAATGACATCTTGCACAGCTCTCACAGCTAAGTAAGGTGTGTTCCCCACACTCCAGTAGTGAATTTACTTTCTTCATCATAGAATTTCATTTTCTCTGCGAAGTAGAGCCACAGGGATGTGGGGGAGGGGAAAACAGTTTGCTTGATGGACATGCAGCAAACTGGTAAATTTAAGCCCTGCATTTTATTTTTGTTTTTAAGGATCTCAATCAGCCTGCACTCAGGTGGAATACAAACTTTTCCCCTTCCTTCTAATTCTGCATGATTTAACTGGTCATTAAATATGCTAACTATGTGCAGTTCCTGAACTTGAAGGACAAAGCCTTGGTTCCTTAATGTGAAGTAAAGTAATCACAGTTTCATAGGATGAAAACAGAAGACTTAAAATGCTTTGTATATTTTGTCTGTTAGAATATTACCTTTTAGGAAATGTCAGTGAGATAATAAAATCTTTTATCTCTGATTTCTTAGCTGTCTGTATTTAAAATTAAGAGTATGGGATTTTTGTGAAGTTGTTGTTTGAGGAGTGTCAGACCCTCAGCTGTGAAAACTGAAAACATTAATCTATAATAATTGCATCCCCAAAATTGATTCCTCCTATAACTGCCCAATATGTTGCATAAATGTTGTCAAGAATTAAAATTTTATAATTTACAGTGGTGATTTTTTTCTGAAGTTTATCTGGACGCGATTTGCATCACAATTATTTGCATTTGTACTGCAGGAAATTCTTGAATTTCTACCAGAAGAGAGCTGTTTGTCAAAGGTAACTCTGGACTATGCATTACTTATAAAAATTTTAACTACAGATATCAAACTGTATTGATGGAGGAAAAGCATATGCCAATAGTTACCTCTTGGGACAGAAAGTCTCAGTAATTGACAGAGATAAATAATCAGTATGTTCTGACTATTTTGATTAGTAGCATCTAGAAAATTCTCCGTTATGGCTGTTAATTTATTATATCATATAGATGGATAAACAATATTTAAAGGTTAAAATTGGAGGCTCTGGAAAACCCTTTAATGAACCTGAGAATGCTGCTGAACGAATAATTCACAAAACGATGTGTTTAACCAAAATTCAGCCAGTCATTTTGCTTGTGGAATATTTCAAGCAAATCCCAATGTGCTCAAATCTCTTCCTCAAAAACATTTTTGGATTTTTTTTTCCCCATACCGCGGCCCAGTTGTACATGTTCTAAATTTCAACTGCATTGTTTAATTGGGGTGGATTGGAAAAGTTATATGGTATGAACCCTGTGTACATGAAGTGAACTTCAGTATTTGCGCTGATAACACGCGCTGAAACTAGTTCACTCTTGACAGAATGCAACACACAAAGGAAGTGCTACCACGGGAAAAAAAGGAAAGATCTACTGAACATTCATGGATTTTTATTATTTCCTCTGTCTCTAGTCAGGAAACAGGTATTACACCTGGTTCGTTTCTTCACGGAGCTGCTGCCTCCCTGTAGCTCCCTTTGAGTGCCCTGAAAACAAGGAACTATTTGGCCTGCTGGACCTACTAAGCAGGGCCTCTGGTGCTTTCTTGCTAGCAGCCAGCCTTGAGAAACGTGGAAAAGAGGCTCTGGTTGCTGTGCTAAATGCAGAAGAAGTCTTGGGGGATTTGCAGAACAGTGGAATATGCATGACAGCGCAGGTTGGCTTACTTCTCAGAGCCGTCAAATCTTCCTTCTAGCTAATGGGTGAAGAAAAGCAGCTGGCAGCTAAGGGGGAGGGTCTGTCCAATTGCTGGGAGGCCTGGATGGAAGGATTAAGTTGTGTAGTCTGAAAAGAAATCAATTGTCTCAGATGCTAAGAGGAGAAAACTAGTGGATGGAAGGGGGTGTCATAGAGAGAATGGATAGCATGGAAACCATGCTGTGGAGTGGTGGTGGTGGATCTGGGAGGGTGAAGGATGGAAACCAGAGAATTGCTTGGAGGTAACCAAAGGGAAGGGCAGAGAATCCCTGAATATGCAGGGGTCACAGATTATCAGTGTGGGGCTAAAGGATGGTTGGTGGGAGGAGTAAGGAGTCAATCAGGGCAGAGAGTGAATTGTGGAGGATCTGCGAGAAGAGAGAAATTCATCGGGAAGAGGGAAAGGGAGAAGAGGTTGAGTGATATAAAGGTAGCATTAGGGGAGTTACAGGTAATGGATATGGCTTGGAGAGTTGAAGGCAGAGGAGGAATACTTTCAAGAGGGATGAGTTAATAGGCTTGTGAGGAAGACAGTAGTTTGGGGAATGGTATTAATCAAGGGCATATGAAGAGGTTAAAGGGGCAAAGCTTGGATATAGGAGAAAAGAGATGGGCTGCTGTGTCTGGAGTACTGCATGGTCTGATGGAACTTGAGAACTGTAGAGAAAAAAAAAAGGATTGCTTGTGGGAGTAAAGGCAGAATATACTAGAGATTACAGGAGATGTGAGGGAAATTAGAGGAATGTAGGAAGTATGAAAGACAGACTTGCACTGGGGAGTTGAAGGGCAGAGAATGAACAGAACATGGTTTGGGTCAGAGAAAATAGGATACTATGGACAGTAACAAGCCTGCATAAGATGCAGGCTGCACTTTGTAAGAGAAGAGGGGAAGAAACAAGAGAAACTTGGGAAACGTGAAACGACAGGAGAAATTTAGACAGCAATTACAGTTTTGGATTTCTTGCCATGTTAAGCTAAATTTCACCCCACCTCTGATTTTTTTCTTTTCCTGTGGTCTTACTGCTCATTTGGGGGATAATTGCTGCATCTCTCTAAAGTTTTAATTGCCAAGATACTGAGAACATCAGCCACAGTTCCTACACAACATTAGGATATGGACAAATGAACAAATTGCATTGAATTACAAGAGGGTAGGAATTTACTGTAGATCAGATGGTCTACAGTAGTTATTTGTTTGCCTGCTCTTCCTTCCTAAGTGAAAGCTAAACTATGGCTGGCAACTTAGCCCTTAATTTGAAAGGGTAACTAACCACAATTTGGCTTGTATTTACTACAGGGTAGGAATGGACACATGAAACTGGTCCTGCATATTTGTTAATCTGTAGTAAATCCTCGCCCACTTGTAACTCACCTAGACTTGTTCATGTGTGCATACCCATAGTGACTCTGATCTGCAAATGTAAACTGCAACAAGTAATTCTGGCCTGTTATACATGGTAATGAACTGTGCACATTTCAGAAGTTTGCCAGAAAGGACAAGTTAACTGGCTTCTCTCTGGAGTGGAAGTGAAGGCTCAGGCTCAAGCTAATCATTGGACACCAACATGCTGGAGT